AATAAGACGAGAGATTTTTATGATATTCATTAAGAATATTTTCAAGTTGATTTTCATCACGAAATATAAATATTTCTCTTCCACATGAAAGTCCAACTGGTTTACAAATCCATATTGAATTATTTTCAAAGGCTTTTTTAAAATTAATTCGATCAGTTATATTATCTAATAAATATGTTTCAGGTAGAAATCTATTCAATGGAAGATAATCATCAAGTTTTCGAATGTGTCTATCATAATTTCTTAAATTATTTACTAATAAACCTTTATTCGATAAATGCTTTTCATTATAAATATGATTTAAAATTTGAAAATTTGAATCAAATGTTGACCAATCGATATCAATACTTCGCGTTATCCAATTGAATTTAACACCACCGATAGGTAAATTCTCATATCGATTAAACGCAAATGCATTTAATTGATTACAAACAAGTTGAGAATTATTTTTTCCAGATACATAATAACCATTTATTTTACTATTGACATGTAAATCAATATTTACTTTTCTTGACATAGTTTTTATCGTCATTAATTTCAATATGAGAAAAAAAATCGAGAAGAGAAAAAATAAATGAGAAATACTATTCTTAGATACTGTGATGTATTTTTAAAAATATAAAAATTCTGTTAAATTCGTAATAGATCTTATTTTATATGATTTACTCATCAATCGGACATTATTAAAACTAGTTCAACATCACAGAATCAGTATAGATGTTTTAATAGTTTTGTGACATGATATGTAGATATTTATAGTATTAAAAATTCATTATTGATTTAGAACGTTTGAATAAAGTCTTTGGATATGAATTCGAACGAATATTTGGCATTGATGATGTTGAATATATATCATTGAAATCATTATCGATTTCCTGTCTAATCGCTATACTTTGACGTACATAAAAAATAATTAAAATAATTGTCAAAGAGATAATAGTAATAATAGGTATAACTGTAATAATATGCTCATTTGGCATTGGTATAATAACATGTTCAACTTGTTTTTCTGTTATCATGATTAACAAGTAAGATATACATAAGCTGTTTGAATATGAAAGGATGAAAAAACAAGTATTGCTAAAGATTACAAAACACAAAAGAGAATATATGAAAAGAAATAAAATACTATAGAATAGATTTGGTACGTAAGCTGCCTTATAGCAAAATAACTTAATTATTAACGGGCGCGCAAGAATTCAATGAAAAAAATTAATCTCATATCATTGGTTTAAATTTTTTTAAATAAATAAATAGCTCGTATATATTTATTTTTAACTACATTGTGGACTGGATTGAAATTGCAGTTTTTCTTATATATTTTTCTAAATTAAATATACTTAGACTTGTTAGAAATCATCAGTTTCCTGTCGACAATTATTTTCTGAATTGCAATATTAACTTTTGATGAGCTGACATGCAAAACAATGTGTTAAATCATTTTTCTTTTCTTTTGTCATATTCACTCTATTCAAATCTTTCATCGTATGTTATATATCAAGTACATTCATCCCCTTCCTTTTTTGTTATAATTATTCTTTCTAGTCTTCCTAGACTATTATTCTCAAAAAAAAAATTTTCCTATAGAATTTCATTGGTAAATAAATGAAATTTAATTATTAATGAATGATATTACATCTAGCAGGGTCAAGTCATTAGTTTTATAATTCTTTTTTGTTCTGTGAGCAATTTTTAAAAGTTTCATAGACGTCACTCTAAAATATTTTATAATTAGTTTTTTTTAGTAACACTAATAAACCCTCTTTTTTTATAGTATACTAAATGCATTATTAATGTGTAATTGCCAGATATTTTGATTTTTCTTCGTCGTTAAATTCACTAAATATTTGTTCGTGAGTTGACATTTCATGAACTCTTATTTATTATATATCGATGTTAATTAACATTAATAGCAAGAAAAAGTTATTGTTTATACTAGAAGAAATATGTTAATAGAATATCTTTAGATCGATAAACAAGCAATTTTTTTTTACACATTTGTCTGAGTAAAAATGAGTTTATTTGAAGAAGTTAAAATGAGTTCCTGGAAAAAGTAAAATTAATATTTGCTTTTTTTCACATTTATTTACTCGACTCTTTAAAATCTATTGTAAACATACATATTTAATGATTAATAACGATGAGAGGAAAAAAACGTTTCTGGAAATATATAATTAAATACTCGTTGGATAAAAATATTTTGACAGCATTTACATATTTATGAAATGACACGATTGATAATATGATTAATATTAGATATTTTCTAGTTTAATTGCAGTCAAGAATTTAAGGAAATTCTCTTTTTGATTATTAACCACATATTGTCTTTAGAAACACTAAGGAATAATAGGTTTTTTGATTCATGCATGTGGAAATATGTAGTATTATTAGTGTAATTAGGATCTCAAAAATATATACAGACTCATCTTTCTCTTCTTTTTTTTGTGACACTACAGAATCATCAATCGAGATAAAAGCTGAATGTCATGCACTATTAGTATAGAGAATGAGTGCTTTTTACTGTTACTTGCTTTTTTTTCTCAAATTTTCTCTCCCTCTCCCTCTCTCTCTGCTTTTCCCTTTTTCGCTTCCTTCATCTTACATAAAAAGAAAAGCATTATGAACTATGTTTCATAATCAATGAAGAATCAAGAGCATTGGTTATTCAAAATTGACAATAGAAAAAAATAGAAAGGAAACTCATTATAAGTATTTACATAGATATTTTATGACGTTTCTTTTTTCCCACAGCAAACAATATACCTATGGCTAATACAACATTATCCAACACAACTTATACTAATTTGTGTAAATCATCAACGAATACAGTTTATTTATATGGACATTTAGTACCCGGTATTGCTTTATTTATATTTGGTCTTACTTTTAATCCTATCGCACTTTATTATTTTGCGACTTCACGTAATTTTCGTCGTTCGGCATATTCATATTATTTTTCAGCAATTGCTGTTGTTGATCTTGTACGTCTTACTGTTTGGTGTCTTTTCTTTTTACTTGATTTTAAAATATTTAAATTACACTTTCATTCATTTGAATGTCCAACACAAATGTATACGGAATTCGTTGCAGGCTCAATTAGTGCTTGGCTTACCGTTTCCTTAACTTTCGAACGATGTTTAGTTATTTATAAACCATTACAGACACTGACGGATACAAAAGGAAGACGTGCTTTGATAATTATTTTTTGTGTTATTCTTGCATCGTGCATCGTTAATTCATTACTATTACAACCTGGATTTTATGTGAAAAGGTGAGAAACAATATATTTATGAATTATTAATTCTTATAGTACCAAGTGAGTCATTTAATATTAAGTTTTGCAAATAAGTTTGAGGCAAAGTAGGTTATACGGGTTGGAGTATGAGTGAGTATACTATATATGTGAGTCATGATTAGAGGAAATCCGAAGCAACAACAGAACTGATCCGCGGAAGTACAAAGTGTAAAAAAGACCTGGTATTACTAGGATTAAGACTAATTTGTATTCTATACCACCTACTTGTTTTATTGTATCAATTTATATTCTTTTGAGATCAATGTTGCATATAAAGATTACAAAGTATTATAAACTATGCTAAGTAATAGTATCGTCAGTAGTAGTACATCAAATAGAAGACAAAAGACTATATTATTTCTTTGTCAAACATTTCTTGTCAATTGGTTTCCAAATAGTTTATATCAAGGACACGTTCTATTTTCAAATATTTATTCTATACAAATATTACTAAATTAAAAAATTGTTCGACTTTTTCTCAAGACTACAATATTTTCATATGTATCTATGAGATATATGAAGTCCCTTCCGTACTCTATCTAAGGTTAGAAACCAGTAATAGGTTTGAAGAAAAATATTGTTTTATTATAAGTTCGTCGAACGACAAGGCTGTCTTTTACATCCGGTTGAATGAGTTAAATACTCTTGATTTTTTTTTATAATAATCGACAATAATTAAAATAATTATACTAACAATAAATACAAAAAAAGAAAGAGCGATTCATTCGACTTCAAAAGAGAAAAGACTAAAATTATGCAAATCTAATCTAATTAAATATTTCTATTTAGATCATACAGAGAAAACAGTATTCAAATAGTTTGTCATTATGAACAGACGTCACAATCTAATATAACACTTAATAAACAACATTCATTATTAACTCCAAATACAAAACGTATATATTTATTAATGATAGTTATATTTCGTGTTGCTGTACCATTTTTATTACTTTTTACGGCAAATATAATATTATTTATTAGCGTACGTAGAACACGACAAGAATCATCGAAATTAACTCCATCATTACTTATTCGTCATGGTCATCATCGACAAGTAACACCCATGATATTTTTTTCTTCATGTATTCTTCTACTGACAATTTCACCTCGGTAAGAAAATTTAATTTGAATTTTTTATTTCGAAATCTTGTTATTTTATAGATATCTTCTTCAATTTTATTTAAATTTTCGCCAAAAACTTCCGCATTGTGCTTTTACACATTATATTCCACATTTATTAAAAACTTTCGAATTATTTAATTATGCATTTAATGTATTTGTTTCAATTGTGAGTGGTAAACATGGTCGACATGAATTATTTAATATGTTATTTTGTCGACCAATACCAAGTCAAACATTACGTTTAGCTACACCCTCGAAATTAGTTGGTTCACCGACACCGCATACATTAACAACATCGAAACATCAAGGTCAACGACACTCAAATCAGAAAATAGACGAACCAAGGAATTCAACACATAAACCATTACTTCCAAGTCTCGATCATATTAAAAGCAATCATTATCATTATCGATAATGAAATGTTGATAGAAATAAATATTTCTTTTTTTATGAATAATTTATTTTGTGTAAAGACAAGACACACACACAAAACTATCTACCGATAATATACACAAAAAAAAAGATGAAGAAGAAGAAATACTACACACACTAAAGATAAATTTATATCAGACGTTTCACTGTCTTATTTTTTATTATTATTGTTATTTGTCTTTTTTTTATTTAATGTTGTTTGAAAAGCATTCATACGTGCACGATAAGCTTGTGCTTGTTGTTTTGTTTCATGAATTTTTTTCTTTTGTTGAACTTCAGCTAATTGATCATACAAACGTTTTGAACGTTCTTTCGATTCACGTACACGTCTTTGTCGTTCTTCTGAATCGGTTTCAATTGTATTTATTGATGATGATGATGTTGCTGGTATTGATGTTTGTATTGGAATTGGTTTTCGGGATTTTAGACGTGTTGAAACTGGTACATGAGAAGTATTGATTGTAGTATAATCTTTAGTTTTGATTTCATCAATACGTTTTTGACTTGTTGCAACAAAATTAGCTCGATGTGCTTGTAAAGCAGATTGAAGAGTTGGTAATTGAACAATTTGTGCTATAATTGAAAAAAACATTTTATTTTAAATGAAAATAAAACTGATGTATGATTTACGGGTAGACGTATTTTGTTGTTCTCCATTAATAAAAAATTCAAGACCACCTACATGTCGGTTTTGTTGAGATTTATTTTGATTACTACTATTTGCTGATGATGATGTTGCTGTTGTTGGTGATGATGATGATGATGCTGAAGAAGGAGACGACGATGTTGATGATGAAGGAGCTGGTTTTTCAAGTTCTTTTGCAAATCCTTCACCAACTGAAATAAAATAAGACCAATCAGCATCTGTCGTAGCAGGAAGACGAGTTCCTATAGCTATATCTGAGATTAATGAATGATTTTCAAATGATTTAATATCATCATGATCATTCGTTGTCATTAATGTTGCATTTCCAGCACTTAATTCATGTCGTTCAAATGAAAGTAAAGATGTATCATTACTACTCGCTTGTTTATTTTGTTTTTGTGATGATAATTGAACAGATGAATTTGTTGATGATGGTAAAGGTAATGGTGAATATTGACTAATAGCTGGCATAGCTAAATATACGGGTGTTAATGTTTCATGTCGATTTTTTTTATTCAATGTCATAAATGGTTCATTTTTAATGGGTGATAATGCTGGTGTTGAACAAGCACTTGTTTTATCATCACATGTTGAAAGTGGTGATGAACATTGTTTTTTCTTTTGTTGTGATGTTGATTGTGTCATCATAGGAGTTGGATTTTGACCTGTAGTTGTTGTTAATGAACGATAACTATTCGAAAGAAGAGTTAATGATGGTTCATCAAGAATACCACGTTCATCTGAATCAATTTTACAATCAAGTTGTGCTGTCTCATATAAATGTTGGTCATCAGCATTTAAAATAGCCGATGGAAAATCTAATGTTGATAATGAACCTGTTTCAATTAATGTACTTTTTTGTTGTATTTTTTCACTTGATAATGTTGTTAATTGTCCACTTTCATAATCGGGTGCACGTATTGATGCTGATGAAAAAAATGTTGTTGATTCACCTACTGGATTTTCTTTATGATTCGTAATAAGTCTTTGCATAGCACGTTGATTTTGTTCAATTAAATAAGATAATGTATCATGATGTTTACTTGAATTTGATGATGAATTTGATGTTATTGATGTTTCAAATGTATTTGGTGAATTAGTTAAATGATGTATATCACTAACAATACTATGATGACGTTCGTTTTTATCTTGTATCATATGATGATGAAGATTTTCTGATGATGAATAAGAATGATGTGATGATGTTGAAATAGGTTGACCACTAGCAGGTGCTTGTTTAGCAAGTGATGAACGATATGTAACTGATGTTAATGTTGAATAAGATTGATGATGTACTGGTGGAGTTGATGATGATGCTGATGATGGCATTATTTGTTCAACAGCTGTCATTGTTGATGATGGATGATGTTGTTGTTTTGTTAAATATTCATGTACTTTAATTAATGACATTAAATCACATTGTTCATTATCATATTGTGAACGAAGAAATTGTTCTTGAGTTGGTAAATTTGGTGATGATAAAAACATATTATTTGAATGGTTTAATGATGATGATAGAAGTTCTATTAAAATTAAACAAAAAAAATTCATAACTTTAGTAATTCATTTACTAACACTTGCAATACAATCGAAGGAAGTATCTAAGCCTGAGCTAAGCAAGTTGGGATATTTTTTATATCCTTGTTTAGTCTATATATCTCGGCTGAGATCGCGATTTTCCTGAGGGAGGAGTGCCTTAAATGACGATACTAATATGGATAATATTTAGTACTTTTACCAAGGGGGAACAAACTGATTTTCGTACTAGAAATCAAGAGAAATCAAGAGAAATCAGGAGAAATCAAAGAAATCATAAGAAATCATGAGAAATCAACAGAAATCAAAAGGGTGTGGGTGTAAGTTTGGGTAGGTGTAGAGTGTGGATGGACGTGGGTGTCAGATGAATACAGTATCTACAGGGACACGGACACCCACACGCACACGCACACCCACACATATTCCCAATTGATTTCCATGCTAGAAATCACAAGAAATCAACAGAAATCATGAGAAATCATAGGAAATCACGAAAATGAAATTAGAAATCAAGAAATCAGGAAATCAGTTTGTTCCCCCTTGACTTTTACTCAAACTATATATGTTTAAATACTAACCTTCAACATTTGATGAGCCGAAACCCAATGAATGCGTTAATTGTGGTTCATTATCTTTATTTATATTGATTGTTTGCGGTAATTGAGGTAATTGTGGTAAACATTCATTTGCAAGTATATCTCGCCATTTTTTCGATATACTTGATAATGATTGATCATCCGATTCTGTATTTGATCTTGGTGTTGTTACAACCATAGGTAAATTAGTACTTGTTGATGTATTTGTTGTTGTTTCATTTGTTATTGTTCGTACACGTGGTTGTCGTGTTGGGAATAAACTTTGAATTCCACTACTTGAACTTTTACCACCACCACCACCATTAGCAAGTGTTGTACGAGATGTTGCAGTTGAACGTGGTCCATCAAAAAAGTGAAATACCAGAATCATCACGTTCTAAACCAGTCATAGGTAATAATTGTTGTTGTTGTTGTTGTATAATAAAATTTGACGATCG